TTATACTGTTTGTTATTAATGCTGTTAGTTTTTCAATGGCACCATTAATGTCGTCTTTTGTCATTAGCGGAATTTTTAAGTCTAGTTTGTTTTCCAAATCATCACGAAATTCGTCCCAGTTTACTCGTCCTGTAATCAATTTAGGAGTTGATGGTTTAGAAGCATAGCTCGAATGTACTGAAAGTAGAACTGGACTATGGTCTGAAGAAAGGTCATCAAGGGATTTGATTATGGTTTGTGAGGAGATCTGGGAAGTTATAAATATATCTAGGATATCGGGATGTTTTTTGAGGGATGTTGGCCAATAAGTAGGACTCATGGGAGAAAGGATTGAATAATTGTTGGAAGTTGAAACACGTGATAGAATGTTACCGCGGGGGTTGGATGTTCACCAACCCCATCGTTGGTGTTTAGCATTGTAGTCTCCTCCAGCAATGAAGCGTGATCCGAGGGATTGGAATAAGGAATCAAGAAGGTTATAGGAGAGGGGATTACCAGGAGAACAGTATACAGCTGAGAATGCGAGATGGAAAGGGCGAGTTGAAAGGACTACAGAAGTTGAATGAATGGCATCAGTTGGAGTGGAAGGAATAAGGGAGTGGGATAAAGATTTATGGATAAGGATGCAGGAACCAGCGTGGGAAGTGTTATCTGGGTGGTCAGATCTGTAAGTGAAGTAGTCATGTATGTAGAAATGTGTCCGTTGAGTGAAGTGAGTTTCCGTCAGAAGGGCAATGTCAATGAGATTGTCATGGAGAAATAAGTCTAGTTCGTCTCGGTGGTTGAGTAGTCCATTAGCGTTCCATAAAAGGATAGCTAGGGGCTTTATGCTCGTCGTGGGAAATTGAACGTCGTTTTTGGCAATTCTGGAAAATTTGACGGATTAATAATTTCAGGTAGATGGGTGAAACTTTCTTGGTTCAGTTTTACGCTTTTCGAGGCAATGTTCTGAGCTATCTGCTTATAAAAATGTTTATAAATTTTGCATCCTTTGTAGTTTGCTGGATGTTCTTCACCACAAAGGGCACATTTCGGAGGCAGGTCTCGAGGTCTCTGACAACAATGAAAATCATAGTTTTTGGACGGAAAGTAATTTATAAGTGTTGTAATTTTCTCGAGAGTTTGTGTTTATTTTGATATCATTAACTGTGGAGAAACAGCGGAAATTGGTCTGTCCAATCAAACCGGCAATTTCTTGACCAAATGTAATGAAGTTATCGATTTTAGATATGAAAATAGGTGGCGGCTCGGGCTCAGAAAACTCTTGAGGCTCCGGAATCTTGCTTGATATTTTATTAACGGAAACAGGATTATTGGTGTTAGTGATGGTTAGTGCAGTTGGCTCTGATGCTATGGTAATTTATTTGCTTCTGGTTTGAGGTGGTGATATATTTTGCTCGGCTGATTGCTTAGTTTTAGTAGATTTACTTTGTTCAGTTGACTTTTTAGATTTATTTAGCTCTGATAACTGTTTAGGTTTAGCTGATTTTTCTTATTGGGTGAATTAGCTCCCGACCCAGGAGGAGTCTTTCGATGACGTTTTTGAAGTGTTCGTCTTTTTAAATACTTTATTTATTTATTTATGCCTCCCTTCCTTGCCTTTCGGCTACACGGGATTTTGCAGGGATGGCATATCACACACCCGCATGCCATTCCTGCTATTAAACAACAAGTCTTTTTAAATACTGCGAATCTGTTTCGCTAACTTCAGAAAACGGCGTTTCGTCCTCTGAATCTTCACTTGACGAACTCTTATCTAAATTCATATCTTCCATATTATGATAAGAGAGAGAAAAAAAATATATACTACTAAATATGACAACTAAAAAGATTGAAGATTACGAAATAAATTATTAAAAAAATAAACTATATACATAACTATAATCAGAAATAAAATAAAACATTACTTAGAATAAATATTTAAATAAAAATAAAACAGTCTCTGGAAAAGAAAAAAAAAAAAGTAATTATAATGTCTTGGGTTCGAACTGAAGACCTGATGACTGAAGGAAGTTAGTAAACAGAGTCCCTGACCGTGAACTTATCGGAATATGATAAGGCACGTAAGGGAATTAACGGCCTCTCGATCTAACCAAATGAGCACCAATTTATCACTTGTTTATTGTTAATAAATAGTACATCAACGTAAAAGTGTAAAACTGTTTATTAAGTCACTGTTGTTAAAGTTTTACACCACAACTTTGAAGTTTGAGCACATTACTAAGCAACAAATACAGAGCGACATGAAAGTTATACTGCACTTGCGGCCATGACACTTGCTACTAGAAGTGAAATATAAAAATATTTCATTGATATGTTTATAACCTCAAATATATTTACTGTAGAGTATTAACTCTAGATAAGATATTATATTTAAATAATTAGATTTCTATCGGCCGTTTATTCCAAAAACTAATGAAGTAACCTTTTAGAAAATTAAATTAGTTAATAATTTGATGAATTTTTCCTTTGTGAAATCGCAACATTATCCACTTACAATTAGTGTGACAACTCTTGACCTAACCATGGCAGGTAATGAAAAACTCGTAATTTCGTTTTAGTAAACTTTATAATGGAAAATAACAGCTAAATAGCTAATAGTCCTACAGTCCGTAATCATTTATAGGTTAAATATTCACACATCTGTAGGCATATATGAGCCTTTTGGTTAAAAGAAGGACTAGCTCCAATTTCAATATTTTTCATTATTAATTTTATACCTTTATTCACAGTTCTATATTTCAACACTGCAATCACCTTCAATCAACTTACTCACTGTCTGTATTGATACATTTTTCAACTAGAATAATAACTGAAATGACATTACTCAAAAATGTTGAAATTGAAGTTAGTTTACAGAATGCAACTGAAAGGCTCAGAGACAGAAGTTGTGTGATTTATAAAAGCAGATGAAGTGACTAGATTTTTTTTGCCTACCGTCGATATAATAAATAGAATTTTTGTAATTATAATGGTCTTAATCAATTGTTATCTGTAGCAAATCAGCCTTAGCTTCGTTGAAATGGATTTCAAAAATTTTATAATAGCTAAACATTGCCAGAAAATAATTTCTATACAAAGTAGAGTGAAAGTGAAAGTTGTGTGTTGCGCGCACCAGATTTTTATTTTAATGTTAGTAAAAATATGTAATACAGATGTTAGTATGTATAAAAAAATAAAATAAGATTTTCAGTAGAAAGTAAGAGAGAAAAGAAACAAAAAAATAATTAAATAACAAAGAGCTTATCCGTGAGAGTAATTGTAAGAACTTTGAATATTTATTGTGTACTCGACCGATCCTCGGTGAGGAATTGCCAAACACAAACCCTGCGGAAGAAGGACGCCGTTCTTACTCAGTCGAAGCAGTTCTTCTTACTTAGTCGACTCGACGAAATCGCAGCGGTCATTGGCAGAAACCTAAAACACTTCGCCTCTATTGGATTGGATTAAGGAATATTATTATATATTAATATACCAACAATTTAAATATAAGAAATGTGCCATGTTATTTCTGTAATTTATAACACACAATTTATTTGTGTAAGTGATGCAATCTATCAATTAACCAATGCACTACAAATTATCCAAGTTCTATATTTAGAAATGAGACAAAACAAAGAAACTGAAGTAAGTGAAAAAAAAAATGTAATATTCAACGCTATTAAACATGTGTATACCTTCCTTTGCAGTGTGGGCAGTGGTTCTTAATCGGAGAAGTAGGATTTCTCCGTGGAGATCCGTCACGCGAACATTGGCGTATGGTTGCACCCTCACAGTTCCTAACCCATCTGTTCGCTTAAAAGGAGAGTTAAATGGAGGACCAGCTTTCCTCCTATCCGAGTGTTGGGCGCGTGACGCGTCCGAAGGTGCATACTCGAATTCGCGGGCCATCATAGAGGACATCATCCGATGTCTCACGAAAGCGACGACCTTATCAGCGGTAGGGTACTCGTTACTCGCGTGTGAGAACTGGAATTGCCGTCTATTGGCTGGGTCCAACGCAGGTAGAGCCAAGGTGGCCATGATGACTTCTCCTTCATTTTGCAGTGCCAACGCCAGGAAGCTGTCTATACTTTCGCCCACAACTAAGAGGTAAGCGGAATGCTTGGAATATTCGCTGCCAGAAAGGGGATTTTATGATCAAGAATTTTCTGGAGGCAACGCGACGCGAGAAAGCGCGTTTTTTTTATATCCCATAAATCTTCTTAAGTCCCTCTCAACAATCCTTTGAAGTAATTTCGGCACGATGATCAACAGAGCGATTTGCCGTTAATCCGAAGGTGTCACGGGCTTTAATTTTTTTAGGAATAGGCCTGAGTATCGATCGTCTCCACGCTTTGGGCGACTTGCACTGCTGCAAAGGTGCATTTATGATGTCGGCAAGGACATTGATGACCCCCAGCTATTCGACCATCCTCTTTGAGTACCCATCTACTCCACCTCACCTCATCCGATTGATACCCCAGACGACATTATCCTCACCGATCTCTACAAAAATTAGGTACTCCACATAATCATTTTTTCCGTACAAAATAATTGATCGCATTACCAGAGCGCAACGGATAGAGAGAAAGGGAGAGAGAGGAGAAAGAGAATTCTCAAACAAAAAAAGAAAATATACATATAAATAACATAAGTAAATATAATAGTTTCTGAGGGTACCTAAAAACTTCTTATATGTACATTTCGTGATCAGTTGGATTTAATTTGCATAATTTTAACCATTCACATTTGTTATTTGTCCCTATGGTATTAATAATTCTATTTTAATATGAAATACAGTATGAATACTATTTTTTAATGTTACTTAAATTAAAACTCTATTGGATTAAGGAATATTATTATATATCTATATCCCAAAAATTTAAATATAAGAAATGTGCCATGTTATTTCTGTGATTTATAACACACAATTTATTTGTGTAAGTGGTGCAATCTATCAATTAACCAATGCACTACAAATTATCCAAGTTCTATATTTAAATGAGACAAAACAAAGGATGGGCATAGAAACTGAAGTAAGTGAAAAAAAATATGGAGTATTCAATGCTATTTAACATGTGTATATACATATAAGACATATCAATTTTTAGTATTTGAACTTATTTGCTTGAACATTCACGTCAGAGCTAAATATCTGTAAAGCATTTATTATTTAATTTAGATTGCCTCAGGCGGTGGTTTAGTATACCAGCACTCCGACACCGAAAGGTACACCCATGTTGCTGTGGTGTCCTTCCCACCGGAAGAATGTGGGAATGATTCTAAACCATCAGTCAATACTGAGGTATTTGTTTATATGGATTGGATTCAGCATGCTGTTGCAAGTAAGAAGTTAGCTGTAACACAGTCTATAACCATCCAGTTTTGTTGTAAATAAAATATCATTGTCTTTTTTATTTTCTAGGAAGAAAGCCTAGAACCAAACTGTGCAAACAAGAAAAATCTGTAGCTGGATGGAAAAGCTGGAGAAATGAAAAATCTAAATGGAAACGAGAAGATAAATATGAAGATGAACACTTTTCATCCGGAGTTGATTCATCTAATACCCCGATTGACAAAGTTTTTCGAGAGGGTGCAGAAAGCACTGGAGCCGAACAGATTGATCTGCCACAAGGCCCAGAAGATATCACTAATAACCCCCAAAAACACAATAATAACCCCAAAAATGAGCCACATAACACTGAAAATGACCCCAATAACTTGAGATATTCCTCTCCAAATGGGCTTAATTTTTCTGGATATAATCCTAATTATCCTGGAAATCGCCCATGGTGTGCAGCGAGTCCTGTAATAAATCCTAGTTATCCTGGATATCAACCTCCTCATCTAGGCAATCAGCCTCCTTATCCTGGAAATTACCCTCCCAATAATCGCAATTACCAACTATATGACCCTAATTACCCAGGAAATAATATACATCAGCGCTTTTCATCCGGAGTTGATTCATCTAATTCCCCGATTGACAAGTTTTTTCGAAAGAGTGCAAAAATTACTCGAGCCGAGGAGATTAATCTGCCACAAAGCCCAGAAGATATCACTAATAACCCCCAAAACAACAATAATAACTCCGAAAATGATCCAAATAACACCGAAAATGACCGCAATAACTTGAGATATTTCTCTCCAAATAGGCCTTATCCAACCAATCTGAATCCTGATCCTGTTAATCAACCTCCTTATCCTGGAAATCAGCCTTCTTATTATGGAAATCTATCTCCTTATCATGAAAATCAACCTCCTTATCACGAAAATCAACCTCCTTATCCTGGAAATCAGCCTTCTTATAATAGAACTCAATCTCGTTATCATGAAAATCAACCTCCTTATCTTGGAAATCAGCCTCCTTATTATGAAAATCAATCTCCTTATCATGAAAATCAATCGCCTTATCATGAAAATCAGCCTCCTTATCATGAAAACCAACCTCCTTATCCTGAAAATCAACCTCCTTATCATGAAAATCAACATCCTTATCATGAAAATCAACCTCCTTATCCTGGAAATCAGCCTTCTTATTATGGAAATCAATCTCCTTATCATGAAAATCAACCTCCTTATCATGAAAATCAACCTGCTTATCATGAAAATCAACCTCTTTATCATGAAAATCAACCTACTTATCATGAAAATCAACCTCCTTATCATGAAAATCAACCTCCTTATCATGAAAATCAACCTCCTTATTCTGGAAATCAGCCTCCTTATCATGAAAATCCACCTCCTTATCATGAAAATCAACCACCTTATTCTGGAAATCAGCCTCCTTATTATGGAAATCAATCTCCTTATCATGAAAATCAACCTTCTTATCTTGAAAATCAACCTCCTTATCATGCAAATCAACCTCCTTATAATGAAAATCAACCTCCTTATCCTGGAAATCACCCTCCCAGTAATCGCAATTACCTACTATATGACCCTAATTACCCAGGAAATAATATACATCAACACTTTTCATCCGGAGTTGATTTATCTAATGCCCCGATTGACAAGGTTTTTCTTGAGGGTGCAGAAAGCACTGGAGCTGAGCAGATTGATCTCCCTGAAGGCCCAGCAAATATCACCAATAGCTCCGGAAATGACCCGAATAACACTGAAAATGAGCCCATTAACCTGAGATATTCCTCTCTAAATAGGCCTTATCCACCCAATCAGCCTTCTTATCCTGGAAAACAGCCTCCTTATCCTGGAAATCAATCTCCTTATCCTGGAAATCAACCTGCTTATCATGAATATCAGCCTCCTCATCCTGGAAATCAACCTCCTTATCGTGAAAATCAACCTCCTCATCCTGGAAATCAGTCTCCTTATCCTGGAAATTACCCTCCAAGTAACCCTAATTACCCAGGAAATAATATATATGAACACTTTTCATCTGGAGTTAATTTATCTAATACCCCGAATGACAAGGTTTTTCTTGAGGGTGCAGAAAGCACTGGAGCTGAGCAGATTCATCTCCCTAAAGGCCCAGAAAATATCACTAATAGCTCCGGAAATGACCCGAATAACACTGAAATTGAGCCCAATATACTGAGATATTCCTCTCTAAATAGGCCTTATCCACCCAATCAGCCTCCTCATCCTGGAAATCAACCTCCTCATCATGAAAATCAACCTCCTCATCCTGGAAATCAGTCTCCTTATCCTGGAAATTACCCTCCAAGTGACCCTAATTACCCAGGAAATAATATACATCAACACTTTTCATCCGGAGTTGATTTATCTAATGCCCCGATTGACAAGGTTTTTCTTGAGGGTGCAGAAAGCACTGGAGCTGAGCAGAGTGATCTCCCTAAAGGCCCAGAAAATATCACCAATAGCTCCGGAAATGACCCGAATAACACTGAAAATGAGCCCATTAACCTGAAATATTCCTCTCTAAATAGGCCTTATCCACCCAATCAGCCTCCTCATCCTGGAATCAACCTCCTCATCATGAAAATCACCTCCTCATCCTGGAAATCAGTCTCCTTATCCTGGAAATTACCCTCCAAGTGACCCTAATTACCCAGGAAATAATATACATCAACACTTTTCATCCGGAGTTGATTTATCTAATGCCCCGATTGACAAGGTTTTTCTTGAGGGTGCAGAAAGCACTGAAGCTGAGCAGAGTGATCTCCCTAAAGGCCCAGAAAATATCACCAATAGCTCCGGAAATGACCCGAATAACACTGAAAATGAGCCCATTAACCTGAAATATTCCTCTCTAAATAGGCCTTATCCACCCAATCAGCCTCCTCATCCTGGAAATCAACCTCCTCATCATGAAAATCAACCTCCTCATCCTGGAAATCAGTCTCCTTATCCTGGAAATTACCCTCCAAGTGACCCTAATTACCCAGGAAATAATATAAATGAACACTTTTCATCTGGACTTAATTTATCTAATACCCCTATTAACAAGTTTTTTCCAGAGGATGCAGAAAGCACGGGAGCTGAACAGATTGACCTCCCTAAAGGCCCAGAAAATGTTTTTAATGACCCCCAAAATAAAAATAATAACACAAATAACATTGAAAATGGCTATAATAACTTGAAATATTCTCCTACATATAAGCATCATTTTTCTAGATGGGAACCGAAGTTTCATGGACATAGACCTCACTATCCTGGAAAACGCCCATCGTCTTCAGGAGGTTCTGTAAAGCGCCCAGGATGTTCTGGTTGTCCTGGAAATCAACCTTCTTATCCTGGAAATCAGCCTGTTGCTCCTGGATATTTCCCTCCAAGTAACTCTATTTACCCACCAAATGACCCTAATTTCCCTCCAAATCACCCTATGTACCCTGTAATTATGAATATTTCTCAATATCCTGATCTGTGCCCAATTTTACCAGTTCCATGCCCTGGACACCAAGGTTGCCCTTTAAATTGCCCTCCTGTTCAATGCTGCTGTGAAGGATATGAACCTCGATGCACTGAACCATGTAACGCTAATCCTCATTTCGAATGTCCTGTTCACGCATGCTGCTGTCCTGGATTTTACATTCTTGTAAAGTCACATATGAAACCTGGTGAATGTCATAGTATAGTAGATAAAATTATTGATTGGATAACTGGATAAACTACAGATAAATCTAATTAAAAAACCCTATTATCGTTTTCTGAAGTATATTACAACACTTTTTTACAATATATAGTGAATCCATTCACACGACTTTTCAACCCGCATCAGATGCAAAGTTTAATACAACAATGGTTATCAAAATACACCATAATCAATTATAATCCGATTAAATGGTGTATTTAGGGTGCCCTGTACGTAGAGGGAAGTATTTAAAAGGTTGATAGTAGAAAGATCAACATCTACAAAAAACTTCATATGAACAATTGCCCAATTCCGGCAGAAAAATAGAAAATTTTAAATTTGTGTTTTTTTTAAGTGGGTCCCTTTTTGGTGAATAGGAAGAGATAACTAAAAAACTATTTGATTTAAGTAATTAAACATTGTTCCATAGTAAAATAGATACAATTTTCTTCAAACGGAATTAGAGGTGGCCATTATTTAAGCTATTTAAAAAAAACATCATAAATTATTTGTAATTTTTTTTATCCCCCTTCAACTATACTACAGTTATCCCACTTTTAGAAAAACTTCCTCATTTAATAAACTTAAAGTTGGTATTAATTAAGTTTTATTTTGAGATTCAGCTCCAGTTGTGTAAAGAAATGATGTGATTTTCTATCCAGCCACCTAAAAGAACCCGTGTTTCCAGCATTACTACAATTAACTGTTACAAAGTTTTTATTTCTTGTTTCTTCGTTATATGTGATGTATTGTAATAAAAATAAAAGTCTAAAACATAAAAAAAAAAAAAATTTCAAATATTGCTCATGTAAAGTTGTTGTTTAACTGTGTTCTCACAAATATCTGTCATAGAAATTGGTATGTATTTATCGAATATAATGTTTCTTACTAAGTTTAAAATAAAGAAATCTGTTAATTACTTCAATTATTTTCATGAACATATGAATATAAGGGCTTGAAAAATTAAGTTTGTCACATATAAGTATGTGTGAATAAAAAAAAAAGATTAATGAATAGCTGCGTAAGATTTATAATTGGTGGCTCGAGATATTCCTATGTCTCTCACCACTGCACTGACTCTTTTTCTCCATTCGAAGACAATATTTCCTTTAACATATCATCAACAATCGTCGTCTTTCTTACGCCTATAACCTTCTCCAAGTTAGAGATGGGCAAAATTGTACTATGAGTAAAAAGTACAATTGCAGAGTAATTTACTCAAATACTCGCCCGGTTCGAGTATCGAGTACTTCAATCACTACTCGACCTCATGATTAAAAGTAATCAGCTGTCCTCCTGAGTACTTTCTATTTTCAAATCTACTCAGCAATATTTTACTCTGAGTACTTTTCAAAGTAATCGAGTATTTCATTATAAAAATTACGGGAGTAGAATATTTAAGTCCATTGTTATCTTATAGGGGTATAGTTTTTTAAAATAGTATCGATATTAATTTAAATCAATAAAATTATTAAAATATTTTGGACTAATCAACTTTGGGGACCATTTTTTTTTTCTACACCACTTGACTTTTATGATAATACTGTCGGATTTGAAATAGTGCCCCAGGGGCCCGATTTTTTGTAACTTTTCGGATTGTATCGACATCAGGTTCAACTATTAAGTTTTGGGAGGCGCTTTATGAAAATGATATTGGATTTGAGATAGTGCCCCCGGGGCCCGACTTTTTGTAACATTTCGGATTGTATCGATATCAGAGCCGACTATTATGTTTTGGGGGCCGCTTTTTTTGAAAATGATATCGAATTCGGGATTGGGCCCCCCGGGTCTCGACTTTTTTTAACTTTTTGGATTAAATCGATATCAGGGTCGACTTTTATATTTTAGGGGGCGCTTTTTAAGAAAAAGATATCGAATTTGAGATTGAGCCCCCCGAGCCTCGACTTTATTTAACTTTTTGGATTAAATCGATATCAGGGTCGACTTTTATATTTTAGGGGCGCTTTTTAAGAGAATGATATCGAATTTGAGATTGGGTCCCCCGGGCCACGACTTTTTTTAACTTTTTGGATTAAATCAATATCAGGGTCGACTCTTATGTTTTAGGGGCCGCTTTTTATGAAAATGCTATCGAATTTAAGATTGGGCCCTCGGGCTCCGACTTTTTTTAACTTTTTGGATTAAATCGATATCAGGGTCGACTTTTATATTTTAGGGTGCGCTTTTTTAGAAAAAGATATCGAATTTGAGATTGAGCCCCCCGAGCCTCGACTTTTTTTAACTTTTTGGATTAAATCGATATCAGGGTCGACTCTTATGTTTTGGGGGCCGCTTTTTATGAAAATTATATCGAATTTAAGATTGGGCCCCCGGGCCCTGACTTTTTTTATCTTTTTGGATTAAATTGATATCAGGGTCAACTCTTATGTTTTAGGGGACGCTTTTTATGAAAATGATATCGTATTACGAATCATTTTCATGAATTTTGAAATAGTGCCCCCGGGGCCCGACTTTTTGTAACCTTTCGGATTTAATCGATATCAATGTTGATTATGAGGTTTTAGGGGACACTTTTTATGAAAATGATGTCGGATTTTTTTTGCAAAATGCGTCCTCTAAAACATAATAGCCGGCCCTGAAATCGATTAATTCTAAAAAGTGAATCCACTGGGTGCAATCTCAAATCCGACTGTATTTTCATAAAAAGCATCTTCCAAAACTTAATTCTCGACCCTGATATCTATTAAATCAGAAAAGTTACTAAATGTCGGTGCCCGGGAGCACTATGTGAAATCCGACATAATTTTCATAAAAAGAGCCCCCCAAAACCTAATAATTGACCCTAATAACGATCAAATCTGAAATGTTACAAAAAGTCAGGACCCGGGAGCCCAATCTCAAATCCAACATTATTTTCATAAAAAGCGCCCCCCAACACCTATTAATTGACTCTAATATCGATTAAATCTGAAATGTTACAAAAAGTCGAGCCCCGGGGGCCCAATCTCAAATCCGACATCATTTTCATAAAAAGAGCCGCCCAAAACATTATAGTTGACCCTGATATCGATTTAATCTAAAAAGTTAAGAAATGTCGGGGCCCGGGAGTCCCAATATCAAATTCGATATCATTTTCATAAAAAGCGAACCCCAAAACATATTAGTCGACTCTGATATCGATTAAAATCAAAAAGTTACTAAAAGTCGGTGCCCGGGGGGGGCCCAATCTATAATTCGATAGCATTTTCATAAAAAGCGCCCCCCAAAACCTATTCATTGACTCTAATATCGATTAAATCTGAAAAGTTAAAAAAAGTCGAGGTCCGGGGGGCCCAATCTCAAATTCAATAATATTTTCATAAAGAGCGCCCCCCCCCCCTAAAACACAAGAGTCGACCCTGATATCTATTTAATCCAAAAAGTTAAAAAAAGTCGAGGCCCGGGGGCACTATTTCAAATCCGATAGTATATTTTTATAAAAAGGGCCCCTCAAAACATGATGGTTAGTCTAATATCGATAAATCGGAGGTTAGGGTTGGTCAGGGCGAATATGGCCGCTATTATTGAAGGAGATAAAAGAAAACATTTATACTGTTTATAATAATGACGGAGTAGTTGAAAAATAAAAAGTACTCTTTGTAGGAATTTGGCTGAGTACTTTCTGTAATTCGATATAACAGCGCGAGTATTTTCTGTACTTAACTAAATCATGATTGACGCTGCGTGATTACTCTCAGTACTCGCCGATGTCAGGCTGAGTACAGAAACTACTCGATACTTTTTCCTAATAAAATTACTCAAATCATGAAAGTAATCGAGTACTGCCCATCTCTACTCCAAGTCAAGTGCTCAGTCCATTACCTTTCAACAAGATCTCGACCTTCTGACCTTTACATCCCTTCTCACAGATCTGCCTCATTTCAAAACTGCTTTATTGCTCGCGCTGTCAATTTCTGGAATTTCTTACCTAACAAAATCGGGCATTCCCCGTCCATATCTACATTAAAACCCCTCCTATTCCAATTCCTACCCCAAAAACATTCAGATGCCTGCTAAGCTTTTTATATTATTCATTTCTATTATATCATTCATCATCAAATGATAGTAGTATTTCATATTGTAAACTTCACTCGGGATTTTACAATTTCTTCTTTCTCTCAATGCCACTAAATAATAATAATAATAAATAATAAAAAGGCTTAGCGAACCCGAAGGTTCGATGCCGACACCACCAATCGCTTATTACACACCTCCCTCCACCGTTCGCCGTCCAAACCCAGTCCCTTCAGATTAGCTTTAATGCAATCTTCCCACCTTCGCTTCTGTCTACCCCTCGCACGCTTACCATTCGGCACAGCAAATATTAACCTTTTAGGAATTTTCTCGTTACTAAGTCCAACAACTTTACAAGCCCATTTGATTCGCCGCGATGAAAATATCTCAATTATATTACTCGGATACAGTTCACGCACTTCGGCGTTGTGTAACCGTCTGAACTCTCCGGTTAACTCATCCTTCTTCGGTCCGAATAATCTACGCAATACTTTATTTTCAAAAACCTTAAGACGCTGCTCATCCCTTAATGTAAGCGGCCAAGTTTCGCACCCATAAAGAACTGTAGGCAAGATAATTGTTTTATAGATTCTAATTTTTAAGTTCGGGACAAAAGGCGCGAACTAAGTAGTTTTGTCACAGAAAAATAACAAGCATTTCCCGCCTTCAGTCTAACCTTAATTTCTTCTTCAATTTCGTTTTTTCTAGTTATCGTAGAACCTAGATACCTAAACTTATCTACCTACTCAAACATATTACCATCTATTTCGATATCACCAGTAGTATCGCCATTTTTGCTGCTAACCATATATTTTGTTTTATCCACGTTTATTTCGAGTCCTAGTTCTTTACCGGCTTTCATTAACGTTGTCGTATTTAGTTTTATAGTTTCAAGGTCTTCGCTTAACAGTACCAGATCATCAGCATAGCCCAGCACGGATGTTGTCCCCCCAGA